ACTGGAGGGGAAATAGGAAAATGCTGTTTTTTTTGTCTTCAAAAAACCCCCTCCTCCCAGTGGGTTTGCTTTGCTTTGGTTTTCAGTGGCATTAAAAGTAGCTTTGAATATTTAATTAGAACAGTTGGCACTGCGTTGAACACCAGTGGCTACTAAATAAATGATTATCGATTGCTTACAGAAAGGCAGGAAGTGAATTCTGTTGGTAATTGTGGCAATATTGCTTTTGTTCCTGTGGTACTTCATGCTTGCTACTTGCCTAATATCAAACAATCTTGACTTCCAAACACTATAAAAGAAGCAGAAAAGTTTTCTGCTTAGAAAAGAGAGAAAGATATCATATAAGATGATGGATTGCTTCTACTTTCCTCCATTCACTGAACAAGTGTTTGTGGAGCACAGTTGCCTGATGAGGCTAGAAGATTGCTCTTTTCCGTCACATTGGGGTTAGTACTCAGCACCACGGAAATGCTGCAGGCTCATCTCCTCTCCTTCCCTTGGTTAAGGCCGTCTTCTTCCCAGTCTTTTCGTGTTATTCTAGTGCCTCAGTGGGTAGGAATCAATGGGAGTGAAAGCCTATCAAATCAGTCCTGTGTCAGACAGCCCTGTGGCCCTCACACATCAGTATTTTTGTGTTGTTTTGTTGTGTTTTAAAGGATGATTAGCTAGAAACGCTGGAAGTAAGTTTCTGCCTCAGAAAAAAAGGAAGAAAACTTCAGTACCCACCTGATGAGTGAAATGCCCATAAATTACCATGTCATTTCCCCCCCTCAAAGGAAAATGAAATTATGAATTCAGAAATTCATAGTCATCTGTTTTTATTGTTGCCTAATGCTTTTTAGATCTGCACAGGCCCTGCAGAAAATCAACTCTGAAACTGCATAATTAGGACATCTTTCATAGTCGTAAATGCTAATCCCATTGGAGAACAGATTAAGAATTCACAGGCATGGGTTTCTGGCATCAGGTACCCGAAGTTCCTTTTCTTTTTGAATTATTCATTATTTAAATACTTCAGTGCATGTCCTACAGCCCTGCATATTGCATCCAGGACAAGGAGAGAGAAAGACTAATTTCCCATATATCTTGACAATAAGCACATTCAAAGTTGATGAGTGTTGATTTGATGTCCAGGGAAGAAAGTCACTGACAATTTCATGGCTTCAGTTAGTCATTTCCAGGACCTGTTTAAGACATCGAGTAGGACTGTCTGCAGGATGTTAGCAAAGCCAGAGGTCTCACATTCACAGTTGGCAGAGTTATTTGCTTTAAGAAGAGAATACTAAAGGATACATGAAGCCTCCGTATATATGGCTTCCGTCAATGCCTGTCCTCACTCAGTTATGAATGCTTTAGGACAAGTTGTATGGAGCAGATTGAGGGTTGGTTAGCCGCAGTTGGCTTTTGTGTGTGGAAAATACCTGTAAGTTCAGCCACACATCAGTCATCCTTCTAGACTTCATGCAATGCTCCTTCTGTGAGAACTCTCTGGAGCCACCATCATGGTGTAAACTCTGTCCTGGAAGGTCCCGGTGCTTAGAGGAACCTCCTCTCAATGGTTCTGTCCAATGGGCAGACAGCAAACTCCCACCGAAGTGGGGTATCCCTTTCATCTTGCATCTCTGCTGCCTGGTACAGAGTAGGACACAGAAATGATTGGCATCTATTTAATAAATGGAGTTGGGAAGGTTAACTAAGCCCTATGAGTTGTAAGCAGCAGAACTGAAGAGCAGTAGCTGAGACCTAAGAGAGAAAGCATTAGAAAGATAATAGGAGTCTCTCAATGAACTCATAGGCAGAAGGAGACAGGGCTCTGGAGCCATCGGAACAAACCCACGGGTTAGGGTCAGTTCTAGTTTCCCTTTAGCAATCTTCCTTCTTTGTATTTGAAGTAACAAGTACTAATTTTTAGTCTTTGACCTGTGGTGATGTCAGCTAGTACTTAAAGTACACACACTAATCCCCACCCCGGTTTCCACCCCTCCCCCGGCCAGGCCATGGCTCCTTCGGTCTTCACAGCAAAAGGCCTTGTACTTGTCCTATTCAGTGCATGAGGAACCAGAGTCCAAACTAGCTTTGCAGTTTGCCCAAGCAGAAGAGCTGGCACTGTGGGTGTCACAGGGAACTGTGGTGTTCTGACTTGAAGACGATGTCTGCAGTGCAGCCGTGGCCCAGCTGGACGTAAGAAGCAATGTTCCAGGGCCGACCAGCACTCCCTCACCAGCCCAGTTAGATCCTTTCCCAAAGAGGGCTTACCCCAGGGTGGGGGAGCTGCTCGCTGATGCTATAGGTCTGACCAGCCCTTGGCTGTTGGACTTGTCAGAGGCAACTGGATCAAGTGAACCAAAGCTGCAGGGGAGAACCCATGCTAGTTCAGACTGGGCCTGAGTGTAGAGTCTTTGCCCAGCCATCCATCCAGTTCCCTTCCCAGCTTTCTAAGCTCTCATAGAAGCTTCTTGCCCTCTAGCCTTCCATCTCCTCCTCCGTCAAGGAAGTGGTTTGATCTGACGGCCGGCCATGAGGCTTCTGGGCAGCCCTGCCCAAGACTCCTGCAGGCTGTCTCAAGGCCATGCTGTAGCTTTCTCCCATGGCCATGCTAGTCAGACAAAGTCCAACCACTGCTAGCAGCCAGGGAGAGAAGGAAGTCGCCCATGGCCTGGCTGGACTCCAGAATCCTTGGTGATGCCTGGGACCAGACAACTCAGAAAAGCTCTCCTTGCTGGCCTTGGAAGAGGAGTGAGATGAGAAGTCCTGGATGGTACACAGCCCAGGGTCCTGTAGTGTGCTAGAAGAAAAGAATATGACAGTTTGTTACCAGAGCTGTGAGGTCTGCACACGAGCAGGGACTGACCGGTTCTGATGGCTACTCCAGTAAACAGGGATTGGCTGTCCTGGCCTAAACCAGATAAGCAGATTCCCTCTTTCTTCGAGATTCTTGTTTAATTCGATGTTCGTTCTTGCCTAAATTTCTTCTCTGGTTGTCTTTATCACAGAACTTCCAAATCCAAGATGGTGTCCTTCCAGTGCTTCTCACTGGGCCATGTTCAGTGTGACTCTGAGGTCTGAATCAAATCTGCCTTCAGCTGAGTCTTGGTTACCTATTAGCTGACATCCTTGAGAGAACCCGAGGCAGAGCGGCACTGTGGAAAGCATGGTGGACAAACACAACCTGATGATCTCCGGCTGGTGTTTATTCTGAGGTCCTGCAGTCCTCACATTCAGACGAGAACATTGGTCTGAAGGATCTCCTCTACATCTCCTCCATCTTCTCTTCTGTTTTAGTTCTGCATGGTAAGCTTCCTGTTGTCTCCACAGGTGCGAGGTTAGCCTCCTGCTACCCAATATGAGTCCTTTGACTATGACTTATAGGGCTCCACTCACAGCAGCAAGGAGCAAGATGTAGGGTCTAGTCCCACAACTCTGTTTTCAGGAAGGTTATTGTACACTGGGGTTCTTCATCCAGCCTCCCCAGTGGCTTGCAATGTGGGAGAAGGAACGTAAATTAAATTTTTGAGGACTCTTTTTGTTGAAAGCGCAGTTATTACCTGCAAAGAACCACCTGTGTTTGCATTGGAAGCATCTACAGTGCTTCTCATCTGCCTGCCTGGCCTGAGGCATCCACCCTCCACCCAAGACTCCATCTTAACCTCCAGAACAAACAGATCACAGAAATAGTACCAAAACCTGAAATAACAAAGTGAAGAGTAGTATCCAGGATTTATAGTTCTTATTTTTTCTTAAAATTTGGTGGTGCTAGCTTTGGAACTCAGGTGGCCTATTACTTTAGCCATGTCCCCCAGCTCTCTTGCTTGGATTATTTTTGAGAGTGTAAAATTTATGCTTTGGCCAGCCCAGGCTGAGACTCAGCTACTTGTGTTTTCCACATAATTGAGGTGGCAGGTGTCTTACACTGTGCCCAGCTATTGGCTGGAATGGGATCTTGAGACCTTCTTCCCCAGGCAACCTTGTGCTTCAAGTAATCTAGGATTGTGGCATGGCCCACTGTACAGGGCCATAGGTCTACATTTATAAATGATTTGACGTGCAGAATCCAATCGTTTTTAGCCTCACAGAACTTCTAAATGTGGAAGCAGAGCAGAGAAAGATAGTTTGGGCAGGAAACATGCAACCGTGCCTAGTGAACGATGCTTCCCAGGAAAGCCTCACCTGCGGAGCTTTTCTCGCTGTGCTTTTCTCATCGGAACCTATGAGCGGCCCTGGGAGGGGTGGTAGGGCATCTTCACTCTGTGGCTCTTCCTGGGGGAATCTGAGGACCAGGGTGGTAAGGGGGCTTCCACGGTTTAGGTCAGACTGGAGTCCCCACGTGTATACCACACGCTGTTTTCCCAGGGCCCATTACAAGCCATGGCTTCTGTGCCTGAGTCCCTCTCTCCTGAATGGGCCCCTTATCTTCTCAAGGGCTGAGGACGCTCTTTGTGTCAGGAGGCAGTGTGTGCTTGTTCCTTTCAGTCCTGGCAAGAAAAAAAAAGTAGGAATTCTAAAAAGCAGCAATTATCTTTCCAGGTTCCTTTGTACAGAGTTCTGTAAATAATTTATTTGGATCTGGGGGCCTAGAGACTGAAAAACATATTGAACCTCTTGGTAAAGCAGTGAATCCTGTGTCCAGAACTTGACAGTGGTGGGAAGAAGCATGCGCCTTTGAAATCAGAGAGGACAGACCCACCTGGGAGCTCAGGCGTGAGGCTGGCGCTGATCAGATCACAGCCAGAAGTTTGTGTTTGCTTTGTTTTGTTTTCTCTTCCCCCTCCCCCCACCCCACAGACAAAGGTCACCCTTGAGCTTTTTTTTTTTTTTTTTTTTACATCAAGAATCTTCCTGCTGCAACTCTGGCTGTGGGGCTGGAGAATACGGGGTCCAGCTTGGCCGGGGTGCTCCCCAAGTCCCTCCTGCTGCACTCAATACCTGGGCGAAACAAAGAAAATTGTGTTTGCCAGGCTGGCTGGCTGGAGTCACAAGATTCCGGGGATCACTGAGCGAGCTGGAAATGCTTGCAGAAACCCCGGGGGAGCTGCACACTGAGGGCCACGCCGGATGGCCCGGGCACCGGACTTTTCAGATAAACACGTTTAGCACAGAGCTGAAAAACCATGCGATGGTCATGGATTTTGTGAAGAACAACTGGTTTCCTTCCCAAAGAAGAGCCAAAGTTTGTCTCATCCACATGTGCCAAGGTCTTCCGGGTACCCAGCAGGCAGCCAGCAGATATGAGGTACGACTGGGCCGGTGGGGAGTTGAATTTGAGCTCAGTACCCATGATCAGGAAGGGAGTGTGCGATCACACTCCTGGTTCTGGTGTCTGGTTGGGTCTCACAAAATTATCACATCTATCTGTAGTGAAATTAATTTGTTTCAGTTGTTGGAACATTGTTTGGGGTGAGCATGCCGGATCAATGTAATTTACGTATGGCCAACCTCCAAATTTATAACTACTTTATGGGCTCTGAAGACTTCCGCAGTAGGTCATTGGTATTGCATTTAGAAACTACATTTCTATGAGTTCAATGTTCTTAGCTCTGGAAATTTGCAGTGGAATGAATGTCTTTACAAACAAATTCCTATTTGTTTCCTGGTATGTTAGGCAGGAGGCTATACAAGACCTGCCTTGATCAAGTTAAAATAGAACAGTTCAAGAAAGGGCTTTGTTTTTTGTTTTTCTGAGGGTGAGCTCTAATGCACAAGCACAGACAACTTTGTGGAGCAGAGGGAAACTTTGGAGATTTAAAATGTCAAAGTGGGATGGATACATTCGTGCGTGACATAGTTTTGCATTCCGCAATTGCTATCAGCTGTAAGCGGTTATCATCTGGGAAAGTAAACACACGTGAAATCTGATCAGCTCTTTCTTGTTCATGGAATAAATTATGAACGATGCTGTAATTGACTCTCAGATAGCTCACTTACCCATCTCTTTTGATGAATGTAATATGCAAATTGCTAATGCTTAATGAGAAGGCAACCTTTCTGATTATTGATGGTGCTATTAGGGAAGCCTGTCCCTACAAATGCTGGCACATATTCTCAGATCTTTTGTTCTTCAATGGTAACAGAAGGAAGCCAGGACATTGTGGAAGAAACAGGTTTTGCAGGGTTCAAGGCTGGCTTCTTCCAGTTCCAGTGCTGGGAGAGTGAATTTCCATGTTTGCAACAGAGATGGAAAGGCCACAGGAATAATGGTGTTAATTAAACTCAGTAATCGCTGTTCATTACTTCATGGCCCAATCAACCACAGCAATAGGTGTGCAATTAGAATATAATTGAAAGAAACTAGAGATGTTATTATTCACAAGTAATTAATCGGATGGGAACAGAATTTCAACATTGTATAATTTTCTCTGAGGTTATTTTCCAGTCCTCCAAAGAGGGGACATAACTTGTTGAATTACATCATCATACATTTTACGATAGTTCTCAACATTGTTTTAAACCTTTCGTGGCAGCCAGCTGCTTCATGTTCTTATGCGTGGAACTTCATTTATTCCTTGGTTACTATGGCCACAGTGAAGATAATGGTGTGCAAAGTTGAGATGTGCAAAAGTTCAGTGACCATCACAGCTACATTATTCCTCCATGACCAGTCACAGCCCATGGCCCAGCCACTGTTGTTGAAATGAATGAGTCTCTGGTGTTCTCTGCAGTGGTCAGGCTGATCACCTGTGCCATTTTCCCCACATCTGGGATGCACGACGTGGTCCAGGCAGGGCTTGATTCCATGTTTGGAAATTGCCAGATAGATCTATGCTTCCTGTCCTTCCACATGTGAAGCTTTTCTCAACATCGGGTAGCAAACATTTTAGCATTTAACATATCCCATGTCCAGTCCTTTTAGCTATTATGACTGTCTTCACTGAGACATTTAGATTGAAAAAAGTAGGAAGGAGGAAGGTTTCTTGCTCCAATTCCCAAGCTGAACCAATGAGACAGTCCAATTAATAGCCTCTAGGCCCTGCCATTGGACTTGACCCAGGGATTCCTCTTCTTCCTTCAGCTCAGTTGGCCATCCATTAACCTGCCCTGCACTGTGACCATAAAGTGCCCAGTGGAATGAAAAATGAGCCAGGTCACTGGGTTACACGCCGAATACACATAGGTACTGAATTAAAGAAATGGTTTGTTCTCCTGTAAAAGTGAGTTTGAGGATTTTGTGACTGTGGAAACCTTGTAGACTTCAAGTTCTGCCTGGGAGCACCTGTTTATCTGCTTGAGTTGAGTGAAAGGTTTGCAGACTGGGATTTCTGTAGTGACATGCCTGAGTCCTGAGCTGCGCTGAAGCGTGGAGAACATAGGACAAGCGGTGACCTGTATAACTCCAGCCCTGGAGTGGGCCAGCTACTTCCACTTCCTTCCTTACACAAGTTAATCGGGTAGGAAGTAGATAAAGTTCAGGATGCTTGTCCTTGTGCACAGCCTGGGTCTCTGTTGACCTTAAAATGTAGCTTGCTAAGTGCACCTCTCCCCCTGTATATGCCTCTAATAATTTCAGATATCAGCAAAGCCATATTGAACCATGGATTGCCCCATTTTGAGTTCTGCTTGATCCACACCGTGGCATGGACACATTCTGAGAGCCCCTGTGAAGCCAGGCTCAATTGGTGATGCCAACTTTAGGAAGTGAAGCCATAGCTTTGCGATGTGCTTGTATCCCTAGTGGGTGACTGTGACTAAGAATCTCTTCTATGATGGTGAAGACCTTTCTGGTTGTTGGTCCAGCCTGGAGCTCATGTGCCAACGTTGACCTAGGTGAGAGGTAACAGCATCTGACATGCTTAGTCATGACATGAGCAATGGAAGGCTTTTGCTTGGTGAAATCACAGTTTATCATACCTTTCAATCTTTTTCAAAGCTTCTATAACCTTAACATCTCTCTATCCATATTCTTGGGGGTGGGATGGGGATAAGGATGGAGGGAGGATTTAGTCAGTAGTGTTCAATTCTCATTGAGTATTAGGACCTTGTTGAACTTTTAAAACCTATGTGTCTATATGTCCACCAAAGTCACCGTAATTCTGCGCCCAGCATCATATTGGCAATAAACAATAAACATACACAATAAGAAGACACACCGAATGGCTAGTTCAGTTTTTTCTCCTGATCCAGTTCATAACGTCTTCTTTCTCCAGCACCTGGAAAAGACGCATAACAGTATTTATTAGGTCCCATTGCTCATTTCATCATAGCACTATCATTTGTTTCTGTTGATTGGTTTTTCTCTTGATTATGGGTCATAGTTTCTTGTTTCTTTGAAGTTTTTTAAATCACATGTTGGCTGTTGTGAAGTTTGCACTGTTGAATGTTTGGTTTGGTTGTGTTTCTGCAAAGAGCATTGAGCTTTGTTCTGGCATGAGGTTAAGCTACTTGCAAACAACTTGGTGCCATTGAGGCTTACTTTAGAGATTTCTGGAAACAGACCTAACATGGGCTTGAGTGCCAGGCTGTTTCTCTCCCAGGGACGCCTGTGTTCCTTGGTAATGTTTGAAGACCGTTCTGAGAAGCAGAGGGGAAAAGGGAAAGAACTTGAGGGAAGGGGTTGCTGATTCTGCTGGGTCAAGAGATCTTCTTACTTTCCCACAATGCACAGGGAAGCTCCCTTGCTTCTGAACAGAGTGGTCCTGCCTAACCTTAACCCCACCCCCCTGTGGAGACAGGACCCTCTGAGGAGTCTACTTGATGTCTCACATATCGGACATCTGGCATTGGGGTTGTCAAGAACATCATTCTTTATAGATCTGTCAGAGGTCCTACCCTTTTCTGGTAGTTTCTTTTTCTGTTTTCATGTAGTTTTCTCTCAAGCAGGTATTGATCAATATTCAGCCAAAGACTTGAAGAGTCCCCTACAGGCGGCTGCTACTCTTCTATTTCCTTGAAGTTCCCTGCTCTTCACAAATGCTGGCTGAATTGGCTGCCACGAGTCCTATGTCTGCTTCTGCCCCAGTGAGTCCTCAGGCCCTCCTGGATTTCCCTTCCAGAGCCACGACCTGGAAACCACATCCAGGTAGAGATGATCGCAGGTCTCCTCCCCTCTAGATTCCCCTTTCCCTGAGGCCCGGGTTGTGCACGGCTTCCTGTCTACAGCCTGGAAACCTTTGTTGCATAGCTTTTGCCTGGCTACTTCATCATGGTGGGAAGTAGACTTCTTCCCAGGTGTTTCTGATGTTCCCCAAGGTTTGAAAAACAGCCCTGGGCTTTCATGGATACTTTCAAGCATCTGGGGTGTCTTGAAGTCTTGTGAAATCAAAGTGCTCAAGTTTTAAGTGTGTGGGCCTCAAAATGACTTGACTCAGGGAATAAAGAAGTCACTGAGACCAGACAGGAGGCAAAACAAGCATTCTCTTTCTTCTCACAGTTATCAAAAGATGTATAACAATTTTGTGTATTTTCCAACCAAGCTCGAGAGCTTTAACCAGATCAAAGTCTTCTGTGTCTCATTTTTCTTCCTGAAGTCCTGGCCTTCCTGCTAGGTATTTCCTGGGATTTGCTGGTGACTCTGGCTACCACAAAGGCACCACCCCCACAGAATGAGCAGGCTGAGAAAAGACCCTTTTGCAAAGGGCAGTGGACATTTTTTTTGGGAGGGGTCTGGTCATGGGGCCTGAACTCTGGGCCTGGGCACTGTCCCTTAGCTCTTCAGCTCAAGGCTAGCGCTCTACCACTTGAGCCACAGCGCCACTTCCGGCTTTTTTCTTTTTGCTTATGTGGTGCTGAGGAATCGAACCCAGGGCCTCAGGCATGCAAGGCAAGCGCTCTATCACTGAGCCACCTTCTCAGCCCGGACAGTGGATATTTTGACTGGCTCTGCCACTCCACAAACAGGACAGGTCTTAACCTGACACCTTGCATGCTGTCTGGGCCTATGCTGGGGCCTTCTGTTGGTCACCACTGGGGTTTCCATTGGTCATTCCCAATAGACTGTCCAAATGACACTTCCTGCTCAACATACTCTTCCAACGTTTCTCTCACCCCTGTGTGAGGGAAAGGTTGGCTGTCAGAGGAAATATTGTAGGATGTGTGATGGTTGGACGCCACCAAGAGACTCACTGTGATCAGTCACTGTCCTGTGCAGTTTTTATTGCAGGTGAAAGGATTCTTAGATCTGCTTTCTTTTTTGTTGTTGTCAGTTTTGTCAGAAGTGGGCATTGATAGGGAGACCCTGTCCACATGCCGGTCAAGTTGAGGAATGGGAGGTGGGAGGGAAGATGCATTGGTGTGGTTCAA